TGCGCGTAGGCGAATTCGCTGGTATTTTAATCAGCGTACGTGCTTCCTGTCTCTACCTTTCAGCCATAAACAATACGGTAGGGCAGAATTGTAGGGCGACCTGTTTCTCCGACGTGCTTCGCCCTCTTTCATAGGAATTCCTGTGCTTTGTTACGGCGCGCCGTACACACCTCGCGCAAGAAACCGCACCGAATGTGAAAGATGAAACCCGAAATCATTGGCCCATACCCGATCCCGACGGCGACGTGCCAATTTCTTGAAAGTGAGAAAGGAGAACGTAAAAGTAGGCGGAGGAAAACCCATGACGGCTAAGGCGAGCTATTATAATGATGGGACACGCAGAAGACTCAGATGATGATGAACTTGGCGCACAAGACCGCCAGAGGGATTACAATAATAATATCGCCGAGTAATAATTTCAGCATTTTGACGTTTATGCACTCCCACGGTTATTCGATACGGGTCCCGTTCCCACTGAAGTTACACGACATTCTGTGTGTTCTCTCATTTTCGTAAAATGCACCATCTCGAGAAGAAATGTATATCCTGGCAGTTGCATGTCGGAGATATACAGTTTGCAACGCGTTAGCTATTAGAATAAAACATCTATCAATTTTGAGAAGATAGATTGAGACATTAATAATAATCAGAATTAATTACTTGCATCAAGCATACAAATATAAAAAGAAGAAACAGGTTTAAATTTTTTAAGAAAATTTTAGCTCTATCTTTTTCTCTGATTTTTAGATATAATTATTTAGAATATTTTTAATTTAGAAACATATTTGTTTATATTATTATTATTTAAAACGTTTTATTCTAATTTTCCTTAAGTCAGAACCGTCTTTCTTTTTATTAATTTAAAATGTTGCATTATGTAAATTATATTGGCCCAATACACCTCTTCGATTTTGTTCTCAACGAAACCAAATTCATCGTCGTCCCTCCTTCGTCGTCACCCCGATAACGACTTTACGGTCCATACTACATCCTAATTTCATGGTTTGACCATGTTAACCTCCGCATCTGAACTTTCCCAAGACTTTATAATGGTATCGGAGCAAACGCATCATCTCCGGGCCCTTTGAGCTTTCATCGTTTATCGCGCTCGTCACATGTGCGGTATTCCTCGTATACAAGGGGATTCTGAAGCGGTAGTTTTGGAGTGTCCAGAATTCGGTTCAGTGGAAGGCGGCCCGGGACAGAGGGGGTTGATCACGTTTCGACGAGAAGGGGATCCGTGGTCCAGCGCGCGGAAGGGGGTATCAATAGCTCGTTAATCGCAACGGAGGGTGGATTCGGGGTGATACATATCCTACCGCCGTCCATCCTCCTGTCCCCCTTGAATTGAAATTTATTTAAAACGACACACCGACGTACGTATACCCTGGGGGGTTTGCGCCGAGGCGTCTCTCTCTCTCTCTCACCCCTCGTGTGAATCGCGAAAACGTGGCACAGGTTGCACCGGGCACTGGCTGCGGCTCTCGAGTCAAGTGCACGCGAAATTAAACCTTCCTCCATCACGTCTCGCCTGGATGATCGCGCGCTTTTCATCACGCACACCGAACCCTGAGAACGCGTTCGTCTCTGGGTCGACATCTCGTCAAATTTCTCTCATGATGCTACTCCTCGCATATATTTGCCTCGCCTTCCATGTGAAACCGCCATTCTTCAACTAAAGTTAGTAGCATACAATATCAAAAGAAGTGGATATCAAATGAAGTGGAAACAGAATATCTAAATGCTGTTCTCGAATATCATTCAGTTCAAAGGCACAAAAATTTGACGATTTCAAAATATAGAGAAATATTTTCTGAGTCCATTTCTTCAAAATTATATATACAAATATAATATTGATTGTATTAAGGCATTAAGCGTCTCATTTTATCTTATAATACCTAAATAAAAAAATATTATTATCATTCGACAATTGAAAAGCCGATTTTTGTATTGCAGAAAGAAAGATGGATGAATCGCTTTTACGTTGCATTATATACATTCATTTTTAGGAAAGTCATACAGAGGAAAAAAATACGTCGTTATCGTTCTCGTGCATTCACACGACGATGCAGCGTAACGTAATATCCACGTGGGAGATGCATAATGCCGATTTTTTCGTAAAAGAAGTAAAAATCCGCTTATCACGCGAGGGCACGCGTGTAAATATAAAAATGCTACGTCCTTTCTCCTTTATCCGGCTCTCGTCTGCTGCCGCAGTTGATCCCAATTGTGCGGTCATGATCTGCATTTCTGATTTCATCAATTCGTTCTCTTGTGACATGCTCGGCAAAGAGAGAGAGAGAGGAGGAGAGAGAGAGAGAGAGAGAGAGAGAGAGAGAGAGAGAGAGAGAGAGAGAGAGAGAGAGAGAGAGAGTAGTAGTAGTAGTTAGTTATTATTATTATTATATATATATATATATATATATATATATATATATATATATATATATATATTTCGGTCTTTGAAAAGTTCATACGGAAAAGACTTTTTCACGGTACTTATGATTTTCATACTTATGATTATATATACATCATCAAAACACAATGACGAAGAAATCATCGATGTATATATAATATAAGTAAAGCATTAGGAATCACACAAAGCATTCGTCAAGTCAGCGACGTACACAAAAGTGCGATTGATCTTTGCGGCTGATCATTTATAATTTATATTTCTACGTGTGTTCGATTACGACTATATAATCGTTCTTCAATCGATTTTTGATCGCATCATAGAACTATAAAATCGCATGTAAATTCTTGAATCGCAAATTCATTTACTATCCGACTCTTGGAGCGGTTACCAGATACAGTGCCGGCATTTGGAAACGTCTCTCCCATAGTTTTCATAAATACCAGATTATGACATTCCTTCCTGCCATCTCTATATACGCCACGTCTACAAACAAAATTCTTGAAAAAAATTGCACGCTTGGAAAAACATTATGCACTATGCAGATTTATTGCTGATCAAAACACAATCAAATTTTCAAGAATGGCATCCTCACGCGATCAAGACAAGAATTTATTTCTGTGCCGAAACCAAAATAAAACTAAGACCAATTACGTAATCATCTTGGTTTCCCTGCGTACGAAAAGTCTAACGTTTATGATTTTATAAGCCGATATTCATCGAAACAGTCGAACGAACGTACGACAGTGACAGATCATCTAAATCAAAGAGTGGAATTCGGGCATTCGCGTTGGAGGGAAGCACAGTCGATGAGAGAGTGAGAGAGAGAGAGAGAGAGAGAGAGAGAGAGAGAGAGAGAGAAGAGAGAGAGAAGGAAGGAAGGGGAGCGAATATTGTCATTTGCATCGCGACCGCAGCATCGAGACAGGGTGTTTCGTGTCTGATGAGAAGGAAGAATCCGAGGGACGGAGAATTGCAATTCGAGCCCAGTATTTAGCGGTGAGATTAATCGCGATCGTGCGATTAAATAGCCTATAGGGTAAAGTTCCGAGTGGCGAGAATCGCACAGGTGCATCTCTGTAAAAATTTCCTGATGACATTTTATCGAATGAATGTATCTATTTAATGAAGATATCTCTGATATGGATTTGATTAAAGAACATTGTGAAATCAATTTTATGAACAAGAGAAATAAATTTGAAGCTGATTAAAAGAAATTTATCATAAAAGATTAAAAAGATTAAAAAAAAATTCAAAATATTAATAAAAACATGAAAGAAGAATAAATATTTTTAAAATTAAAAATATATTTAAGAAAAAATTTATCAAAATTGTTATCGTAAGTATTTTTATATATATATTTTTTTGTTATTTTATACGCAAATCCCGATCACAAAGGAATGTCTGAAATAAAAAATGATGACATAAACGTGATTATGCTAATTTCATCGAAACTTGTGAATGCTTTACTCGAGGAATCTTGGTTGAACAAAGTCACTTGCATACTCTATGCATGTACAAGCAGTCTAAATGACGAAGTTTGTTATGAAGATGTAACAAATATTCATGCACGTAAGAAACCGAAAGAAGAAGAGAAAAAATTAAACAAGAAAAATATAGAAATTAATATTTTTTTGTATTTTTACAATGTATTGTTACAATTCACTTTTAAGTAATAAGTTCACTTAATTCACTTTTTTTTCAAATTTAAAGAAGATTTAATCTTTATAGAAAAATTAAAATTTAAATTAATTAATTTTGTGAAGTTACTAAATAAATAAAAGCAATGAATCATACTACAACATGGTTGCATCTTATATATTTTTTTAACATCGACATATTTTGATCAACAAGCTGGCGTTCAGAAATGTGTGAGATGCAACCGTATGAACACTCATGGGATACGATTGGAGGTCATATCTCTGCGACCCCATATGATTATATGAACTGAGAAAATCAACGAGAATTTTATGCAAGGGAAACGTCACGAGAGGAAACATCGAGGTCACATTTAAGGGCTCGAAGATGCACTAGCTAATATAAACATTACACCGCTGGGACCGACTTACCGCAGGGGGTTTTATGCGGGATGCATGTCTTGCGGCAAGTTTCAATAGGAAAATCATCGTATATTATATCGCGGTTGTGATATAACTTCTACGTACTGACGTTACTGTCATATAGGAGACCATATGTGATCATTTCTGGAGATCGATAATTTTCTTTCATCCTAAAAATGATTTTTCATTCTTTGTATTATGATTATTAATAATAACATATCATATGTTCTCACATATTATTATCACATGTATTGTACTCCTATTAAAATTTTTGTGACTTTTTCAAAATAATTTATTATTCTTGTAAAAAAATTATACATTATAATAAAATATATAAACAATTTCTAATAATATTCAATATATGTAGCAAGTGAAAATTTTATTTATGATGCAATTTTAATCAAATTTTATATTTAAGCAAGAATATTAACGTTGAAATTTTATTTGAAGATAAATCAAGTGTATTTTTAAACATCTCTGAAACATTTTCTATATAAATGTTTATTGAATTTCTGTTTGTGTTTCAGTGTAAGTACACCTTCGAATGCGCAGAGCTTGACATCCCTCGGTCGGCTAGGGGGTCCAATCGAAAGACTTTTAGTCGAGGTAGCACTTTCGGTGTTTATTGTGCTAGCCCATTTCTCTGTGGATTCATCTAGATCACTGCCACCCATGATTTCTTCGAAGGCTTCTGCAGTTTTGGCTGCAGCTTATACAGCGTCTACTCTCGTTTTCGTAAGTTCAGTTTTATGATTATTTAATTACACAGTTTAAAAAAAATTGATTTTAATAAAAAATTAATTATGGATAAATGAAATAACGGAGAAATTAAATAACGGACAATCATTTTCATTAAATTTCTCTCTTTTTCTCTCTGAATAATCAATTCTCATTTTTTAATAATTGTCATTATTAGAAAATTGTATATTGTTTCGGCTGCGTTCCAATTATTTTATTTGAATTTATATATTTTCTCCTAATAATTACAATAGAATTTATTAAAATGTGATATATATGTAATTTACAAGTTGAAGTTCTCATTATTACTAATATAAAATATAATAACATTTCATTATAAAACCGTCATCATAAAATTACCGTTATTAAAATATTTTTCTGTAATAAATTAACCTTTTTCGCAAGATCTCGTATTTTTCCTATATTAAATAATCACCTCGTAAGGAAAAGATATTCCTTTTTACAAGCATTCGCGTAACTTAATGAAAGAACAGCGTTCTTTACTTTCTTCTTCCGCTGTGCGTGTCCTCTCGTGCAACCATTCTCTGTCCAAAAGCGTTTGTCGGGCTCTTTCCAATCCGGCCGACGTCCGCATCTTTAAAGAGCACCTGCCGTCGTATGGGAGAGAAGGGTAGGCTCGTGAAGAACGGCGTGCAGAGAGGTGAAAGAAAGAACTTGATCCTGAACCCACCTGCTCCGGAACGAGTGTACAATGCACCCCAAAACGAAAAATATCGAAACCAACGTTCCACACATGTTGAATGTTGATCCCCTTGCAAAATCGAACAAGTTCACTGCTTTCAGTACGAACTTGCTAAATATCTTTGCTCGTTTCTGTGATTGACTAATCTGATCCAGTGCGAAAAAAATCTAACATACTAAAATACATGTAAAAATATTATAATTTATTAAAAATATAACAAATTATTTGTACTTTCCAATCTTTTGAGAGATTTCCAGCGGAAATCTTAAGATTATTTAACGACAAGTATCATTCTTAAAATCCCGCAAATTTTATGTATTAATAATTTATTTTTTTTTTAATTTGCAGAGTCCTTTTCTAAACCCAGCGCGCGCGCTGGGTCCGGCCTTCGTCATGAATCGCTGGGACAATCACTGGGTATACTGGGTAGGTCCGCTATCGGGAGGAGCTGTGGCGACTCTTCTGCATGAATATGTCCTGAGTCCTAAACGCATGAAGGACTCGCGCGAAATGGACGACGGCGATAACTCCTCTATGAGATCCGACGAGGATACGTACGACGACCTGGACAAACCGAACGGGCCCAAGTTCCCCGGTGCCTACGCGACTTATCGCCCGGTCGCCGGTGCGTCCTCGTCGATCTACAGCGCACCACCGTCCGCGTTAGAGCGCGTCGAGTCGATCTATGGTGGTACCAAGTCGCTCTATTGCAAATCTCCCCCATTGACGCGCGCCAATCTGAACCGTTCGCAGAGCGTCTACGCCAAGTCGACGTCGGGACCACGGGACGGTCTGATGATCCCGAAGCCGGGCCCGCTGGTGCCGGCGCAGAGCCTGTACCCCATCAGGCTGAATCAGAACGGTTGTCAAAACGGTAACCGTGAGAATCAGCCTGGACCTGGCGGTCCGCCGAACCAGTCGTTGCAGAATCACAACAGTACCAATCAGAACATGCAGAATCAGCTGCAGCAGTGCACCCAGAGCATCTACGGCATCCGCGGGATCTCCACGAGTCTCAGTACCCGGGAGAACGGTATCTATGGGGTGTCCACCGGATCCAGCATCTACGGTCGCGCCCCGGCACCACCGCCGAGCAGCCAAAATTCTCAGCAATCCGGTCAGAGCGGTCAATCCTCAATACAGAACCATCCGCCACCGCAGTCGCCGTCGCAGCAGCAGCAGCAGCAACAGCAACAGCAGCAGCAGCAGCAGCAGCAGCAGCAGCAGCAGCAGCAACATCAGAACGGACCGTTGTCGAGCAATTCGGACAATGGGGCGAATTCCAGGCGGCCCGAAAGCATGTACGGCCACGTGTCGAGACGCAGCGATGATTCCGCGTATGGCAGCTACCAGAGCTCTTCGCGAGGAAATTATGCCAAGGTGCCTGGACCCCCGGGCCCGCCAAATGGACCTCCGCAGTATCGCGACCAGGGTAGACCGAGCCCAGCCGGGCCGCTTCAACAAAGTCAAAGCGCACAGAGTAACTTCCAAAGAAACTCGCCGAATCCTCAGTATTGACTTTAAGAAGAAAATCGATGGACGGAGCACTCCACGCATTCGTGCGATCAGCGCGTCAGTCTTTGACTCTGCATGTTGACGGAAGGAACAACTTCTCGGTGAATATTCTAAGAACCTTGTAGACTAGTAAGAAATTTTCTTCACACCAAATACGAATAGAATTCGTCCTAATACATAAAAAAATATTCAGGATGTAAAACTCCTGTGAGATTTCAATTTTGTGTTTTGTTTGAATTTTACTTCGTTGGAATGTGAAACGTGGAAATAATATTGGACCAATACTATTATTAGTATTATGTAGTATCAATAAATCTTGAAACTTGTAAATATGTATAACGTATATTTATCGGGCGTTACTGTATGTAACGCGTTGAAGAAGAGCCGTGCGATTTGATCGAGGAATTTTGTTATCGATATTTTGTAATATTAGAATTTTTGTAGGGATGTAAATTTCGTATAACATAAGTGAGCAAAATGTAGAAGAAACAAAATCCAAAAATATGATTAAAATAATAAAGGTAAAAGTATCGTTCGTAAGTTCAGTACAATAATATAAAGATTTTTTTTACATCAAAAATGAATCGATCTTTGAGGCGGCTTGCGCACAGTTGCGCCTATATATGTAAATATAAATATAAATATTTTAATTTAATTTAATTTAATCATATTAATTCTATCGATCCAGTTGATTGTCATGCCAAATTCTTGCGAGGAAGCGATGCACTAACTTTTCAATTGTTACAAGTTTCTATTCTTCCTCGAATAAAAAAATCATTTTCAAACATTCGATGGATTATCGATTTCATTATAATTACAAATTAATACAATAAAACTTGAAATAGATTCACATGTTCGATCAATTTGAATGAAAATAAGGAAAATTATAATAGAGAGTAATTTGAGTGCCAATTAAATAAATATTAAATTTATGTATAATTGAATCTCATTAAATTAGATTATATAAATATTTTTCAAAGAGCGATCATGTTAACAAGTGAATTATAATACTCATTTTAAAAGTTCCTTATGAAGAATCGGCTAAGATAATCATTTATATCGCACTGCATTAATCGTGTTTCACGATTCGTGCAGCCTTCGCTTACGCTATGTAACCAATGAGTAGTAGTTTTATAAAAAAGTAAAATTAATAACAATATTAAATGCAGACAATATTATATGCAGAATACTATGTACTATGTACTATAGTAGATAAGCGAGAGAAATAAATAGTTAAATTTTCCATAAACGCCATAAAAATCATTATAAGCATTTGTACATAATATGTGTATTTATTAATCATCTATCAATGTAATAATCGTAAGTTTAATAATTGTTACGTTCATGTATGTGCGTATATATTTCTAATATATACATATTATATAAGTAAACGCGTTAGTCTTATATATAATGTAGTATATATTAGAAAATACTGACAAAATAAATGTATCTACGAGAAATAGCTCGTTATTTTATCTATCTGAGCAATTTCTTTTTTTAGTTTGTTATTTCATTTTCTTGATATCAGAACTCTATCATTATATTCATAATTTAAAAATTCAATCTCTTTTTCTCATATTTATTTTATTTTCTTTAAAATGAAATTATAAATTTCTCGTTGTCTGTAGAAGAAAAAGAAAATAAAGCTGAAAATATAGAGTTAGTAACTACTAATAACAATGATAGTGACATGTTACTTCACAGACTAATGTCTTATCAGATTAGATTAGCTAATTTTCGAAATTAAATATACGCCGTATTTAACATAAGGTAAAATTTAGGACGATTTCAATCATTATTTCCCATTAATTTGATTAATTTATCAGGAAATACTTGTATTATTTTAAATATAGACAAAATTATTGATTATTTCTTGTTCCATGAAAAAGAAAAGATTAGAGTTGATAAATTAAATTCATAATTAGAAATACTGTTAACACGGTTTTGCTAAATAAATTAATCATTCATTAACTTATCAGATTATATATATATATATATATATATATATATATATATATATATATATAGAAATCAGGTCAGTATTTAGGGAGGACTTTGAGGACAACTTATAAAGCGGCACAGCTAACAGCTGTTTAGTCGGCAACGGTAGACAATTGTGAACATTGAAAACTCCGAACATCGCATTTTACAAATAAATAAATATGAATATCGAACGAGTCGAGCAGAGAATTTGTATTAAATTTTATCAAAAACTTGGCTATACATGTTCCGAGACAATCGACATAATCAATGAAGCTTATGATAATGATTCTATGAGTAAGCCACAAATAGCAGAGTGGTTTAAACGGTTTAAAAATGATCGTATCAGTGAAGAGTAATCGTTCCGGCAGGCCATCGTTGAGAACATCGTTGGAAAACGTGGAACGTGTGCGAGCCGCAATCAATGAAAATTATCGTTTGATTGTGCGAGAGTTAGAAGAGGATCTTGGGATCCCCAAAACTATTGTTTCTCGAATTTTGATTGAAGATCTAGGAATAAGTTACGTGATTCTAAAACTCGTTCCACGAGTGCTCACGCAAGATCGAAAGGATTTTCGAGTTGCCGAAGACATTCTGGAAACTAGAAAAAGATCCTGAATTACTCAAAAGGGTTATTACTGGCGATGAAATTTGGATTTATGACTATGATCCTGAAACAAAAGCACAATCGATGAAGGAAAAGCCTCAATTCAAGAAAGTGCGCCAGAGTCAGAATGTGAAGATAATGCTTATTGTTTTCTTCGATCACGAAAGTATTGTACATTACGAATATGCTCCGCAAGGTTGCTCGAAAACAAGGAATATTACTTGGAAATTCTTAAACGATTGCGTGACGCAGTGAGAAGCAAACGGGTCGCATTTGTGGAAAAGTGAAAACTGGCTGCTGCCTTAATTCAGGATTTTTTGATTAAACACGGCATTGTACTCATACAGTCCAGATATAACCTCATGTGACTCTTTGGTTTTTTCCTAAATTTTCCTAAATAAAGCTTAGACGATGTTGAAGAAATAAAACGAAATACGACGAGAGAGCTATTGGCTATTACAAAAAACGAATTCCAAGAATGCTTTCGGGTATGGTTGAGTCGCTGGATAAGGGTTATTGTTTCGAAAAGAAATTGTATTGACACTGTTCACCGAAATTCGAAGTAACTCTTTTTTATGATATAGGCAGAGTTCGAATATTTGTGAAACAGATCTTGCGTAAGAAAAGTATTTTACTCGACTTATATGATTCATTTATCTCTATTCTTTCAACTTTTTTTATTAAAGAAAACATTACAAAAGAAAACATTATTTTATCTAGCGTATTAATAAAATATTATATATATATAAAAAATAGTTTAAAAAGTTTCAAAAGTTAAAAAGTTTTAAAAAGTATACCTAATTTATATATATCTATATATATAATAAATCAGGTATTTTTTTTAAAACCATGTTTTATTTGTCTTGTAGTTACACTATAATTACAATTCTAATGTTTCAAATCCTTATATAAAATTCAAAATGCATTCTTCAGATATTTTTCTTTTAAAGTATCTAAACAACAAAGTCCAAAATCGAGGCATAAAAGATATCTTAAACCTTTACAGAAATTTAATTTAATACTGGAAATTATTTATTTTAAATATTAAACACATCATTGTTCAATGCTTTTATTACTAAATAAGCAATTAATCACTACTTTCCAGTATTAACTTTTTATAAGAGAAGTTTCCTCATCTGGTGAACATATTCCCGATTCAAACATATACAAGCGCACGAAAATAACATATTTTTTAATATATTTTCATAACATATTTTCATTATCAGATCATATCATTTTCATAAAATATCTTTTATATCAAAAACATGAGCTATCACATTGTGCTATCGATACACATAGAATATATAGTGATCTATCTCGCAAATGATTACAACGTGATACTATTCAATTTAAATTCGATTTTTTGACATAAGTAAGTTCGATATGTTTGTGATATCACGTGACAATTTTAAACTAGCATCATCGGATTTCTCAAATCTATATTTATCTATATCTATATCTATATTTATAAGAAATAATGGTTATTTTGCAAAACAAAAGTCTTTCCGGAAACGTTTCACCCTTCTTTCGAATCGTCGCGGGACGCAATTAATGACGCAGCTGCTGCCATCTGTGCAACAACGACGTCGGCCAATAGCTTTACCGACCTTAACGGCGAGTCAAGTCGCCATTGGTCACAGTTCGTCCACAGTTCGTCGCGTGTAAATATCCATCTTGCCCATATAAATTCAGCCCTAAGGGCTGCTTCCGTTCATTCGCTGTTGCTCGGCATACCAGTCGCCTGATCAGCTGATGACGTAACATACGACAAACGTTCACGCGTGCGAGACGAGGGTTGCGTGTATCTGTTGTGTTCAGGCTGTGCAGTTCGGCCAAGTGTCGGACTGTCGGTGTGGTGTGGTGCGTCCACGGTGGCCACGAACGGTGACGTTACGACATATAGGAGAGATAACCCGTTTTTATCGTGTCGACTGAGTGCCCGGGGACCCCCGCGTGTGCAGCCCCATCGTCACGCGTTGCTGCGCGTCGTACATATCCTCGGGCTGCGTTGTCACACCTGAGAAAGCGTCACGAGTATATCAGCGCGTTTTCCGCTAATTCTGTTCCCGCTGAGCGGGAGTGCACGGGGATCAAGACATAGAGAGAAGAAGAGGGAAAGAGGAAGAGAGAGAGAGAGAGAGAGCGCGAGCGAGCGAGCGAGCGAACGAGCGAGCGAGCGAACGAGCGAGCGAGCGAGCGAGAGAAAGAGAAGAAGAAAAGGAAACGACAGAACAGAACACATCGTGCCAGAATGAGCGTCGACGCGTACGGACCTAGCAGTCAGACTCTCACGTTCCTCGACACCGAGGAGACTGATCTGATCGGCGCGGACACGCAGGGCAGCGAATTCGACTTCACCGACTTTACGCTACCGTCGCCGAGTCAGACCCAGGCCTCACAACACGACGCGACCCAAACGCAATCCAGTCAACCTGTTCAGGTTTGGTTCAAAACTTTTGCACTTGATCTTGTATGTCCTTTCCCTACTCTCCTTCGGTTTTCTCGATTTCCTAAGGAAAATTCTCGCGTCTCAGAAAATCAGTTTTCCAGAGTTTTTCTCAGCCACGCGGCCTAACCTCGAATTCGTTGCGTGCGGTGATAAAGCGATCGACTCTTTTTGCTCCATTTCTTATCTTCGTTCTCTCTGACCTCGTATCATCTTTTTTTTTCCCTTTATTTTCCATGATATAAGTCCGTGGAATTTCCGATGGTCGGCGTGACCTTGATCGTTCGTTGAAAAGAGCTACAGGACGGCACCACCTCCGTCGCTCATCTCTCTTTCGCCAGCTGCCAGATGATGAGGTTAGGTGCGGTCGTTCTCCAGCGTTCCGCGAGTTACGCAAAACGCTTCTATACTTTAAATGTAACGAAAATGACGGAATCCAAGCGCACACTTGGCTCGCAGGCGACGCGAAAGAAGAAATATAATGATGCATTTAATCCTGATGAACTAATTTCTCCAGCTTAAAATGCAATCGAAAACTGCGATAAAAGAAAGCATTAGCTGTGTCAGCTGATGCAACAATGAAACAAAGATGCTGCAACATATCTTTTAGAGAGGATTAAACTTCTCTTGATTTTATTCTCATATGCAAAAGTTGTTTTTTACTTATAAGTTTTATATTTAAAAATGTTATTAACTTAACATTCTTTATCTGTAAATTTTAATGTAATTTCTTTACTCAAACATTTTTTCTAATGTTTCTGTAATGCATTAGATTAATGGAACAAATGGCAGTACGTCATTAGATTTAAAGATCACTGGAGCCGCTCAGAGTCTTGCAGAATTACAATTTGAAGAGGAAGAAGAAGAAGCATATTATAATCGTGATTTACCCGAACATGCATGTAAATATTGTGGTATTCATGAAGCATCCTGCGTGGTTATGTGCAATGTGTGCCGGAAGTGGTTTTGTAATGGACGTGGCAATACATCGGGATCGCACATTATCAATCATCTCGTTCGTGCTAAACACAAGGAAGTTACTTTACACAGGTGATTATACTGTAAAAGAAATAATAGAAATATATTAAAAAATGTATATAAGAAATTTCAATATTGTTTTCTTACATCTGCTTTAATTATAAATACTTATTAAGTTATAAGAATCCATTAACTTACAGAGATGGCCCTCTTGGAGAAACTGTTTTGGAATGTTACTCTTGTGCCACGAGAAATGTTTTTGTATTGGGTTTTATTCCCGCTAAGGCTGATTCCGTAGTCGTACTACTTTGCCGACAACCATGTGCAGCACAGAGTTCTTTGAAAGATATGAATTGGTGAGAGTTAATTATTTTTAATTTATATGTATTATATATGCAGAAAACAAGATATTCATATGTATTTGTTTGTGAATCGATAATATTTTTAGCATGATGTAAACATATGTATATATTTTAATTTTTCAAATATTCAGGGATCAAGAGCAATGGAAACCTTTGATAGAAGATCGCAGCTTTTTATCTTGGTTAGTGAAGTTTCCATCCGAACAAGAACAATTGAGAGCTAGACAGATCTCTGCTCAACAAATCAATAAATTAGAGGAGTTATGGCGGGATAATGTTGACGCTACTTTCCAAGATTTAGAAAAACCCGGAGTAGACGAGGAACCGCAACAGGTTCTATTACGTTACGAGGATGGATATCAATATCAAAATATTTTTGGTCCACTTGTAAAATTGGAAGCTGATTACGATAAACGCCTGAAGGAATCTCAAACTCAAGAAAATATCGAAGTGCGATGGGACGTTGGATTGAATAAGAAAACCATTGCGTACTTCATGCTGGCCAAAACGGACGGAGATATGAAATTGATGCACGGAGATGAATTGAGGCTTCGTTACCTGGGGGAACTTCATAAACCTTGGTCTGGAATTGGACACGTGATTAAGATCCCAGATAATTATGGAGAGGAAGTTGGAATTGAGTTGAAAAACAATTGTGGAGCGCCGACGGAATGCATTAGCAATTTTGTCGTTGACTTTATTTGGAAGAGCACGAGTTTTGATCGGTAAGATTTCAATACAATAATAATATATCGATATAATTTTTTGTAATTACAATTTTAATAAATATTTCTATTTTATTATAGTATGCAATCGGCGTTACGCAAGTTTGCTGTGGATGATACATCTGTGTCAGCTTACATATATCACAGATTATTGGGTCATGAAGTAGAAGAGGTTCTGTTTCGTTGTCATCTCCCTAAACATTTTAGTGCACCGAATCTACCTGACTTGAATAGATCGCAAGTGTATGCTGTGAAACATGCGATACAACGACCTCTATCCTTGATCCAAGGACCACCTGGTACGGGTAAAACCGTAACGAGCGCCACAATAGTTTATCAGTTAGTAAAACAAAGCGGCGGTCCGGTTCTCGTATGTGCTCCGTCAAATACAGCTGTCGATCAATTGACGGAAAAGATACACAAGTCAAATTTGAAAGTTGTACGATTGTGTGCCAAATCGCGAGAGGCCATCGATTCACCAGTGAGTTTCCTCGCGCTGCATAATCAGATAAAGAATATGGAAACGAATACCGAGTTGCAGAAATTGCAACAACTGAAAGATGAGACAGGCGAGTTGTCGAGCGTCGACGAGAAGCGCTATAGGCTGTTAAAGAAAGCGGCAGAAAAGGAACTTCTGGAAGCAGCCGATGTAATTTGTTGCACTTGCGTTGGCGCTGGCGATCCGAGATTGCATAGATTGAAATTCCATTCTATACTTATTGACGAGAGTATGCAAGCTACTGAACCAGAATGCATGGTACCAGTTGTTCTAGGAGCGAAACAATTGATCCTCGTTGGAGATCACTGCCAATTGGGTCCAGTAGTGATGTGCAAGAAAGCTGCCCGAGCTGGTCTGTCCCAATCTTTATTCGAAAGGCTGGTTGTATTGGGCATTAGACCATTCCGTTTGGAAGTACAATATCGCATGCATCCTGATCTGTCACGGTTTCCGTCTAATTTCTTTTACGAAGGTTCTTTGCAGAATGGCGTTTGCGCTGATGAAAGAAAATTATTGAAAATAGATTTTCCCTGGCCTGCACCAGATAAACCGATGTTTTTCTACGTTACTCAAGGTCAAGAGGAGATAGCTGGAAGTGGGACATCTTACTTGAATCGTACTGAAGCGTCTAATGTGGAAAAAATAACAACGCGATTCCTACGCTGCGGCGTGAAACCGGAGCAGATCGGAGTGATAACCCCGTACGAAGGTCAGCGAGCCTATCTTGTGCAGTATATGCAATATCAAGGTTCTTTGCACTCGAAATTGTATCAAGAGATTGAGGTGGCGAGCGTGGACGCTTTCCAGGGACGGGAAAAAGATATAATAATAATGTCTTGCGTACGATCTAACGAACATCAGGGAATTGGATTCTTAAATGACCCGAGAAGATTGAATGTGGCCTTGACTCGCGCAAAATATGGCATTATTATCGTAGGAAATCCAAAAGTACTTTCGAAGCAGCCACTCTGGAATCATCTGCTCAGCTTTTACAAAGAGCAAAAAGTACTGGTTGAAGGACCATTGAACAATTTGAAGGAATCCATGATTCAATTTGCTAAGCCAAAGAAGCTCGTGAACGCAGCCAATCCAGGCTCGCACTTCATGTCCACGTCGATGTATGATGCGCGCGAAGCACTGATCCCCGGATCGGTGTACGATCGTTCCGGTGCGCAGGTGAATGGCACACAGAACCACAATCCGTATTACCAAAGAAACGTGCCGCTCGACATTTTTAGCCGTACTCACGATACCATCAGTTACATTAGTCCGGAACGAGCGCAGGCGGCGATGAATAACATGCCTGTACCGGTAGGTATGTTCATGAACATGGCACACGTGCCGCCGCGTTTCTATAATCAGCATCAGCAAGCGTTACAAGCACGTCAAAATCAAAGAAATAGACGCGGTGCCGCTGCCTCGGCGAGGAACAAATCGGGCCCGCGTATGGGAAAGCTGAGTCAAACCGAGCAAAACACGCAGCCATACAGTCAACCGGGTTTGCCTTTGACACAGGGTACGACGCAAGGCATGTCCCAGCCTGGTTTCAGCCTTTCGCAGCCTGGCTTGAGTCAGGCGGAACTCTCTCAGGATTCGTTTGCGGTCGGCGAATTCCAATCACAGATGGACGGCCTGTTATCGCAGGATTCGACCTATCAGGGCGACCGAAGTGGCTTCTATCAATCGGGCCAGTCGCAAGCCGGAGGACAGTTCTCGCAGCCTTACTGAGCCGAGACCTACCTACGGCTGAGCAACGCAATTGCCATGCCATGAAGGCTCGTTCGACCAATTCTTCTTCGACCAACAATCACAAATCACTAACTGCGCAAAACGGTACGATGGCTCGACGATCGAGTACGATATTATGCGGCATACGCTCATGTCGTCGGCATGAGACAAAGGGGAGTGAAAGGAGAACGAAGGTTCTGTAAGCTAATTCGCCGTTGGAGGATTCCATCGTGGACGCGGAAACACACGAGGCTCCATGTATCTATTGATTGTAACAAATGCGACTAGAGCACAAGACATCACGCCGGCTGGAAGATGACAAATGACTACTGTTAATCGTGACACGCGCTTACCGTGAACGGATCGTTATCGTGAAGATTGAATGACGCTAAAATGAAAAAAAAAAAAAAGAAAAGACGGGAAAAAGACGGGAGACTCGAAATGGGTGGGTATCACTTCATGACTCAATTGAATTTGACGAAAGTGTTGATGTAGCGTCACGAATCGAACGAATTTACTGCGAGGGAATTTATGAAAGATCTTTCTGGTAATCCATAGAAGATCGAATCGCAATAGCACCAAAACGTATTTCCCTCACTGATCCGATATTCAAATCGAACGGAAAGCACAGAGAAAGTTAAGACTACATCGCACCCGAACTTCTGTGTACCCATAGTCATTTCGAGCTGAAGAAAGGGTACATTACTGTACGTGTTAGTTGCTCGGAATGCGCGGGTGCACGTCACACACATCGAGAGTCGATATCAGTTTCTCCGGTGAAATTTTGTCGAAGAATGTCGCCACAATGTTGCATTGTCGTCAGAAGTATGAAGCCAATGTTTCAATATTATCACGGAGATGGGACATCCTTTCTCAGAGGACCAGCGATTTCGCCGGTCATGAGAAATTCATCGGTGGTTTTGATCATTGATTAGGGTTTTTTTCCTTTATTTTATATCTATTGCTTATTTACCGCAGGGGTCAACGGAGCGCACGATTGGAAGGGTTGCTTTCTTTCGGTAGATCCTTAGCGGATATGCTAGCGGTCAACATGACCGAGAAAACAGTATAGACGTACAGCTTACCAAAATATATTCGTTCTTTCTTTCGTGTATCATGTTACATTATCGTTCTTTAACCTTTTCGCGGCGAATGATAATGTACGACGGTAAAACGCTACTCTGCCTTAAGAGTATCGCTTCCGACACTTATATAAAATTAAAATGTACAATTTCATCGCCTCGGAAATGTTATTATGGATTGTATAAACAATCACGAACCGACGAGTAAGGAATTACTGAAATAATTTATTTAGGGGATTGATGAGCCATTGAATAGCCTCTGTTTACAGAGGGAAAAGATTTTCAGCGAGCGAAGGGGTTAACACGAGAACGATAATTATAAATTTAAGGGAGGATCTTGATTTGTGTTTTTTGGCTATGGCATGTGCCATACTGCAAAAATTCTATATGATTACAATTATTGTGTGTTTCAGACATTACCATTATCCGTAATGGTACAAGTAACTCATCATCGTTCGAAATATTTTATTTGTATGGACCGGAATGTCGTTCTATACATCTGTATTCGGATCGCTTTTCTGTTGCTTCCGAAATCCCTGCCTCCAATTCTATAGTCTGTCTGTACTGGCTTCTGGCGGTATTATCAATTCATTATATTGCAATAGATTAAGTAATAATTAACGTAACTTGCATTATACGACACTAAATTGTTTTATTTCTTTCGTCCAATCAACAGCACACCGCTAATATAAGCAGATTATAATATTGAAATTTATTGTAAAATCTTATGGAAAATAAATTTGGTTTGAAAGCAACGTATACCCTTCTTTTCTCTTTCTCATCTCTTTTAATCGTTTCGTGTTGAGACGAAATACAATGGATATTTCATTTATCTAACAAGAGAATTAATAATAAAAATTTTAATATATATTATTATATATATTATTTGTTCGTATTATAATTTTGTTTTATGCTGCAATATGATATTTTTATGTAACTTATATAATCTGTTTAGAACTATAATTGCTTGTAAAGTATTTAGATATTTAGGTAAATTTAAATAAAGGATATAATCGAATGAAAAGAATTTTGATATTTAATTGGATAAATGAATTAACTAACCGAGAATTCAAAACGGTACTTGAATGTTCTCGAACATTTTCCAGTATCTTTCTAACTCACTTTTTTGTATACTATGACCCTCTCTCTCTCTCTCTCTCTCT